AAGGGGCTTGTGACACACTGCTGCGTCAGTGGAAGCTAAAGTGGAGGGCTACAGAAGGCTTCCAGAGAAGGCACAACAGGAAATGGTCCTGTGGGGCAGGGGAGGAGGGGGTGGGGCGGGCACAGGCTGCCCTGCTGCTCTTGTGGCACACAGCCTCCCATCCCCTCACCCACCTTTTCTAGCGTGTAGGTGGCTCGTTCAATGATCTCAGGAAAATGCTCATCATATTCACGGATGACGTCCTTTAGCATGTCTACAGGAAGGGAAGATTTGGGGAACGCACCTGGGTTGAGTGGGGGCCCAGAACTGCAGCACGTGGGCCAGTCGTGCTGAAGACAGTCTTTCAGAACCCCAGTCTGCAGAAGTGGAGGAACTCACCATGGCCAGAGGATGGTGGCAAAATGATAAGCAAACTGATGCCCACAGAGCCCGGAATGGCAGAGGGGCACAGGCTGCCTACCTGAGCGCTTAATGGGGATCTTCTTGTAGTCCTTAATCATCAGGTATTTTACCAACTTATTTGCCTGGACAAGGAGGAACACAAGGGTGGGTTGAGTTTTGGGGGGGGGTTGTTGTCAAGGCATGGGTAACTGCTGCAGAGGTTGGCCCATGGGGGCAGGGGAGGAGGGAGACAAGAACGGCAGACTTTCTTACCCTCTCTTGCAGAAGAGTCACGTTGCGAGGGGGCAAGGACAGCACATGCCTTGAGGGGATCTGGGACCGAGAGCCCATGGGGGGCTCAGGAGCCAACTGAGCCTGCACCGTCAGTGGGGGCTGCAACACTCTCCAGGTTGGTGGGGCCACAGGCGGCTCTCTCTCCTCTTCCTCACTGCTCTCGTATTCATCATCCAGGTGCTTAGACTGGACCATGAGAGAGAGAGGAGAGACCCAGATCTTCTAGACTCTCCGTGCAGTAACACTCAGCACACAACTTACCCAAAGCAGGCACTTGGCAGTATAACAGCAGTACAAGCAGTGGCTGGCATGAGCTCACCAAGTGCCAGACTGGGAGCCAACCTCCTCTCCCACCAGCCCAAGGACAGAGATTTCAGAATCAAAACATGCTCAGGAAAGGTATGCTGGGGAAACATAGGCATGCTGAGAGGGGAGGAGGGAAGGGAAGGGGGAGAGGGAAGGTGAGGGGAAAGGTAGAGAGGGACGAAGAGATGAGGGATTAGGGGTGAGGAAGAGAGAAGGGGTGAGGATAGGGGAAAGAAGAGGAGCCTGGAGCTGCACAGATGGCAGGGATGTCTCACCTTCTTTGTCCTCTTGCCTCCCATCCTGGCCCAGGGCTCAGTACCCTGCTGAGCAGTGGCAGCTGCCCCCTCAGGCTCAGGGATGCTTGTAGCCATCTTGGCCTTGGCAGCAGCTGCTGATGTGACATTCGGAGGCTCTACCCAACGAGTCTTGGCCAGAGCCTTCCCAGACCTGGTAGTCTTGGGCTGCAAGGCTGCCTCCTCCCTGGCAGGTGTGGCCAGAGGCACACTGGAAGCAGTACTGGAGTCCCCTGTGGTGGCCTCTGGGACTGAGGCTGGTCTCTTGGGGTATGGGAAGGCCATGCCACTGACACCTGCTGGCTGAGTGAAATCAAAGACATCCTTCTTGTCCAAGAAGGCTGTCTGGGGCGGGGTAACATCCATCTCCCTGGCACTTGGAGCCTGAGAGAAAGCACAAGCAGTACTAGGGCCCTCGACAGCAACCTCCTGGGCCAGGGAGGCTGCAGGGGACTGTGTGGAGGTTGCCCGAGCCACCTCACTGTTAACTAACACCAGGGGGGTCTGTGGAGAAGCAAGGGTTGTCTCAGGGGTGGCCTGCTGAGCCTCAGCATGTGTCCTGGGCTGAGCATCCACCCCTGGGGTCTGAGGCGGGGTCACCAAGTGATTAGCGACCACCTGAGTGAATGCCCTGCGGGCGGCAGCTGCAGCAGCCCGAGAGGCTCGGTTGGAGGCAGCAGAGCGGGCTATGTTGGCCGCTCTGGCCTCTGTCTCATTGGCGAGGGTGTCTGGATCCAGCTGCAATGCCTCCACCAGGGTCTGAGCCAGTACAGGGTTCTCCAGTTCCCAAGGTTCATTCTGCAAATCCAGAAGGCAGGGAAGGGAGGGCAGAAAGCTGCACGCTGGCATCCCGTGCAAGCTGGGCAGCCCGGGTTCCTCCCAGCAGCCAGCCCTGGTCACCCCCAAGACCTTCCAAAAACCCCTCCTCTGAGCAGGACAGCTGGCCATGCCTCCTGCACTCAGCCAGCCCTTCCCTTCTTCCACCGCCCCTCCATAGGCCACTAGGTCAAGTCCAGGGCCAGCAGGGGCCCGGGGAGGGGCCTCACCGATAAGATGTGAAGACCTGAACCCAAGGTATCAAAGGCTCTGAGGAGGTGGATGTCAAAACTGGTGAGGGTGCCATAGCCACCAAAAGCACCAAATTCTTCATACTCATTTCCCCCAACCATCTCTTCCTCCCTGACTTGGCTGCCACCCTCATCCATGTCTTCCACACTGGAGTTTCCTGGCTGCACTCTGTAGCTTCCCTCAGCCATGCTGTGGGTCCCAAGGAGGAGTCAGCTCAGCCTGTGAAGGAAGGTGAGGCAGCTGCAGGGGGGAGGGGTGGATGCAGTGGCAGGCGGGATCTCTCCTGGGCCGAGAGGAGACAGCAATCATCAGGTTACCAGGCAGTACTAAGCAGCATCAGAGCAGGGGATAATGGGATGGTTGGGGTGGGGGTGGCGGCGGCCATGATGGGGTACGCTGTCAGGGGCAGAACCGGTGCTGTGCTGAGAGATAGAGGAGATCTCTGGGGAGACACTGCGCTGAGAGGGGACAGGGCATTTGGATGCATAGGCTCCCTGTCAGTGCTTAGAGTTGAATAGCTGGTGTAATGAATGGAGGCCTGGGTTCTCTAAGGGATGCCTTAAAAGAGGAGGAAACAAAGGGCTAGCTAGAATTTAAGGGCCTGAGCAGCAGACGACTGAGATCAAAGGGAAGCAGATGCGAAAGCTAGTCAACAGGAACAGGAGAGGAAAGCTTTGTGAAACGGAATCCCAAAGACGGGTGGCCGGGTCAGGGCGGGGCGTGGAGGTGGGAATTCAGCCGATTCCACCTTGACTTGGATTCCGACTGGAGCACTAGGGACCGATGGGACGGGGCCCCGTGGACCTAGGTGAGGTTCCAAGTGGAGCCCTGGAGAGCTCGAGTCCAAAGACTGAGTCTGAAAGCCGACAGGCGGTCAGTTCTTTTGGAAGAGCGGTGGGGGTGGAGGCCTCGGGTTAAAAGGAAGCTCAGCTGAGAACACACGGGTCTGGTTGGAATCACAGGGGCGCTCGGGATCCTGGGCTCCAGTGCCAGTTCGGCTCAGATCTGGGTGCCTGGGTGTGATGGTCGTAGGGGCGGTGGCGTAGGAGCCCTACCTAGACCTTGGGTCTCATGGGGTTCGGGTTCTGAGGGCACCGGCTTTGTTCAGACACCGAGGGCCGGGGGGAGGGCGTAGCGGCTCGGGTTGCACTCGCCCTGGCCCGTTCGGGTCTCGAGCTGGGTCCTTACCTTCTCTGGGGCCTCCAATGGCGTCCCGCCTCAGCGCCAGGAACCAGGCAGCTGCGCCCTCGCACACTGCAGCTGCCAGCACAGCAGCTCCGACCACCCCGCCCCTAGGCTTCGCGAATCTCCCCCCTCTCCCCCCCCAACACACACACATACACACAAACCCCGCGCACAAATTACTCCACCCCACCCCAGTGGCTTGGATCCTGCGCATGCGCGGATCCCCTCCAGCCCGCCAGCTTTCCCAACAAAAGCCCTTTCCTCCAGGTCTCCAGTGCGCATGCGATTTTGCCGGCGGGCAGAATGTCAGGTCGGGTGGCAACAGCTTGTGGGTGGGGTCACTTCTTCCCCGCCACATTCCCCCTCACCCTTCCTCCTCTGACTGAAGACGTGCACACTCGTCCCGTGCCGGGTAGCTCAACTCACTCAACAATCCACCCTCGCTCCCTCCCCTCCCCCCCACTAGTACACAACAAGCTTCAGTTCCTGCCCTGTCACCCAAGCTCCTCCAGCCTCATCTTGGATGTTCTATGCCCCACTTCCCCAAAGTGACCCTTAGGCCACATTAATGAAGTCCCTAGCCCGGTCCGCAGCTGCAACAAGTGGAAATCCTAATTCTATGGTTCCAGAAAATGGAAATGCCCAGATCGTAGACTGTCCACTTCTAAGCACTATACCCACGTTTAGTCCTCAGCTCCACCCATGATAGCCCCTTCTGGGAATCAATCCCTCCATGGCACATTCCTCTCTTGGGGTACTAACAGCAATTTTGCCTTTTATTAATTGTGTCTTGCAATTTAGGTAACTATTGTCATGGGAAAAGGAGCTCAGGTCTGGGTGGAGATGAGGACCAAAGGTGAGTACAATGCTTACACCACCACCTATCTCCAGGACTCCCACCACACTGGGGACAACTCTGAAGCACAGATGCATTTCACCAATCAGACTGGGCCTGTAAACACAAAAGGCAAACTTTGGGCTTGGATCTTCCTTACTGGGGACAGTGGGACCCACCCTATCTTTGGAGTGCCCATTCTCCAACTGCCTCATAGTTTTTCCTGATTTTGCCTTTTTTTGTCATTTTTTTTGTCATAGTTTTTGACCCTTCAATAGGGTGGGTTGTTGTGTACTAGTGGGGGGGAGGGGAGGGAGCGAGGGTGGATTGTTGAGTGAGTTGAGCTACCCGGCACGGGACGAGTGTGCACGTCTTCAGTCAGAGGAGGAAGGGTGAGGGGGAATGTGGCGGGGAAGAAGTGACCCCACCCACAAGCTGTTGCCACCCGACCTGACATTCTGCCCGCCGGCAAAATCGCATGCGCACTGGAGACCTGGAGGAAAGGGCTTTTGTTGGGAAAGCTGGCGGGCTGGAGGGGATCCGCGCATGCGCAGGATCCAAGCCACTGGGGTGGGGTGGAGTAATTTGTGCGCGGGGTTTGTGTGTATGTGTGTGTGTTGGGGGGGGAGAGGGGGGAGATTCGCGAAGCCTAGGGGCGGGGTGGTCGGAGCTGCTGTGCTGGCAGCTGCAGTGTGCGAGGGCGCAGCTGCCTGGTTCCTGGCGCTGAGGCGGGACGCCATTGGAGGCCCCAGAGAAGGTAAGGACCCAGCTCGAGACCCGAACGGGCCAGGGCGAGTGCAACCCGAGCCGCTACGCCCTCCCCCCGGCCCTCGGTGTCTGAACAAAGCCGGTGCCCTCAGAACCCGAACCCCATGAGACCCAAGGTCTAGGTAGGGCTCCTACGCCACCGCCCCTACGACCATCACACCCAGGCACCCAGATCTGAGCCGAACTGGCACTGGAGCCCAGGATCCCGAGCGCCCCTGTGATTCCAACCAGACCCGTGTGTTCTCAGCTGAGCTTCCTTTTAACCCGAGGCCTCCACCCCCACCGCTCTTCCAAAAGAACTGACCGCCTGTCGGCTTTCAGACTCAGTCTTTGGACTCGAGCTCTCCAGGGCTCCACTTGGAACCTCACCTAGGTCCACGGGGCCCCGTCCCATCGGTCCCTAGTGCTCCAGTCGGAATCCAAGTCAAGGTGGAATCGGCTGAATTCCCACCTCCACGCCCCGCCCTGACCCGGCCACCCGTCTTTGGGATTCCGTTTCACAAAGCTTTCCTCTCCTGTTCCTGTTGACTAGCTTTCGCATCTGCTTCCCTTTGATCTCAGTCGTCTGCTGCTCAGGCCCTTAAATTCTAGCTAGCCCTTTGTTTCCTCCTCTTTTAAGGCATCCCTTAGAGAACCCAGGCCTCCATTCATTACACCAGCTATTCAACTCTAAGCACTGACAGGGAGCCTATGCATCCAAATGCCCTGTCCCCTCTCAGCGCAGTGTCTCCCCAGAGATCTCCTCTATCTCTCAGCACAGCACCGGTTCTGCCCCTGACAGCGTACCCCATCATGGCCGCCGCCACCCCCACCCCAACCATCCCATTATCCCCTGCTCTGATGCTGCTTAGTACTGCCTGGTAACCTGATGATTGCTGTCTCCTCTCGGCCCAGGAGAGATCCCGCCTGCCACTGCATCCACCCCTCCCCCCTGCAGCTGCCTCACCTTCCTTCACAGGCTGAGCTGACTCCTCCTTGGGACCCACAGCATGGCTGAGGGAAGCTACAGAGTGCAGCCAGGAAACTCCAGTGTGGAAGACATGGATGAGGGTGGCAGCCAAGTCAGGGAGGAAGAGATGGTTGGGGGAAATGAGTATGAAGAATTTGGTGCTTTTGGTGGCTATGGCACCCTCACCAGTTTTGACATCCACCTCCTCAGAGCCTTTGATACCTTGGGTTCAGGTCTTCACATCTTATCGGTGAGGCCCCTCCCCGGGCCCCTGCTGGCCCTGGACTTGACCTAGTGGCCTATGGAGGGGCGGTGGAAGAAGGGAAGGGCTGGCTGAGTGCAGGAGGCATGGCCAGCTGTCCTGCTCAGAGGAGGGGTTTTTGGAAGGTCTTGGGGGTGACCAGGGCTGGCTGCTGGGAGGAACCCGGGCTGCCCAGCTTGCACGGGATGCCAGCGTGCAGCTTTCTGCCCTCCCTTCCCTGCCTTCTGGATTTGCAGAATGAACCTTGGGAACTGGAGAACCCTGTACTGGCTCAGACCCTGGTGGAGGCATTGCAGCTGGATCCAGACACCCTCGCCAATGAGACAGAGGCCAGAGCGGCCAACATAGCCCGCTCTGCTGCCTCCAACCGAGCCTCTCGGGCTGCTGCAGCTGCCGCCCGCAGGGCATTCACTCAGGTGGTCGCTAATCACTTGGTGACCCCGCCTCAGACCCCAGGGGTGGATGCTCAGCCCAGGACACATGCTGAGGCTCAGCAGGCCACCCCTGAGACAACCCTTGCTTCTCCACAGACCCCCCTGGTGTTAGTTAACAGTGAGGTGGCTCGGGCAACCTCCACACAGTCCCCTGCAGCCTCCCTGGCCCAGGAGGTTGCTGTCGAGGGCCCTAGTACTGCTTGTGCTTTCTCTCAGGCTCCAAGTGCCAGGGAGATGGATGTTACCCCGCCCCAGACAGCCTTCTTGGACAAGAAGGATGTCTTTGATTTCACTCAGCCAGCAGGTGTCAGTGGCATGGCCTTCCCATACCCCAAGAGACCAGCCTCAGTCCCAGAGGCCACCACAGGGGACTCCAGTACTGCTTCCAGTGTGCCTCTGGCCACACCTGCCAGGGAGGAGGCAGCCTTGCAGCCCAAGACTACCAGGTCTGGGAAGGCTCTGGCCAAGACTCGTTGGGTAGAGCCTCCGAATGTCACATCAGCAGCTGCTGCCAAGGCCAAGATGGCTACAAGCATCCCTGAGCCTGAGGGGGCAGCTGCCACTGCTCAGCAGGGTACTGAGCCCTGGGCCAGGATGGGAGGCAAGAGGACAAAGAAGGTGAGACATCCCTGCCATCTGTGCAGCTCCAGGCTCCTCTTCTTTCCCCTATCCTCACCCCTTCTCTCTTCCTCACCCCTAATCCCTCATCTCTTCGTCCCTCTCTACCTTTCCCCTCACCTTCCCTCTCCCCCTTCCCTTCCCTCCTCCCCTCTCAGCATGCCTATGTTTCCCCAGCATACCTTTCCTGAGCATGTTTTGATTCTGAAATCTCTGTCCTTGGGCTGGTGGGAGAGGAGGTTGGCTCCCAGTCTGGCACTTGGTGAGCTCATGCCAGCCACTGCTTGTACTGCTGTTATACTGCCAAGTGCCTGCTTTGGGTAAGTTGTGTGCTGAGTGTTACTGCACGGAGAGTCTAGAAGATCTGGGTCTCTCCTCTCTCTCTCATGGTCCAGTCTAAGCACCTGGATGATGAATACGAGAGCAGTGAGGAAGAGGAGAGAGAGCCGCCTGTGGCCCCACCAACCTGGAGAGTGTTGCAGCCCCCACTGACGGTGCAGGCTCAGTTGGCTCCTGAGCCCCCCATGGGCTCTCGGTCCCAGATCCCCTCAAGGCATGTGCTGTCCTTGCCCCCTCGCAACGTGACTCTTCTGCAAGAGAGGGTAAGAAAGTCTGCCGTTCTTGTCTCCCTCCTCCCCTGCCCCCATGGGCCAACCTCTGCAGCAGTTACCCATGCCTTGACAACAACCCCCCCCAAAACTCAACCCACCCTTGTGTTCCTCCTTGTCCAGGCAAATAAGTTGGTAAAATACCTGATGATTAAGGACTACAAGAAGATCCCCATTAAGCGCTCAGGTAGGCAGCCTGTGCCCCTCTGCCATTCCGGGCTCTGTGGGCATCAGTTTGCTTATCATTTTGCCACCATCCTCTGGCCATGGTGAGTTCCTCCACTTCTGCAGACTGGGGTTCTGAAAGACTGTCTTCAGCACGACTGGCCCACGTGCTGCAGTTCTGGGCCCCCACTCAACCCAGGTGCGTTCCCCAAATCTTCCCTTCCTGTAGACATGCTAAAGGACGTCATCCGTGAATATGATGAGCATTTTCCTGAGATCATTGAACGAGCCACCTACACGCTAGAAAAGGTGGGTGAGGGGATGGGAGGCTGTGTGCCACAAGAGCAGCAGGGCAGCCTGTGCCCGCCCCACCCCCTCCTCCCCTGCCCCACAGGACCATTTCCTGTTGTGCCTTCTCTGGAAGCCTTCTGTAGCCCTCCACTTTAGCTTCCACTGACGCAGCAGTGTGTCACAAGCCCCTTCCCTGCTGCCTTCCTTTCCTGCTCTCTGAGTGACTCCTGAGGTGAGGTTGGTTGTCTCTGCCGGTGCCAGGGCTCCCTCGAGCAGCCCGCAGAGCCTTCTGTCTTCTCCCACCTTCATGCACCGGTGTGAACTTTGGCCGAGGAAACATTGTGACTGCACAATGCCTGGCACCTGGCTTCATCCATCTCACTCTTTTCTTGCCATGTAGAAGTTTGGGATCCACCTGAAGGAAATAGACAAGGAGGAACACCTGTACATTCTTGTGTGCACACGGGATTCTTCTGCTCGACTCCTGGGAAAGTAAGGAAGGAGAAGAGGGCAGTGGTCTCCTTGGAGGTGCCCCTACCCCTGCCCCCATCCTCTCAGAGACAGGAACACAACTCTTGAGAACCCAGCAAAACTTTCCTTCTCAGCAAGTAGCATGCAGTGTCTGCTGGATGAAAGGCAGTATCTTGGGGCTCAGCTGTGGTTGGGATTCCTTCTCTGCATCCCTCTCCCCCATCAGCTTGTGAGAAAACAGGGGCTTACCTCTTGCTTCCATACATGGTCCAGGCTTGGTAAGGTGGGCGCCCAGGAGGTGCCTGTTGAGCATAGACAGGGTCAACAAGGTGTGCATCTGCCAGTTGTGGGTTTTGGAGCTTTTGCTCCCACTCTCACCCCCGGCCTCACCCTGTCCCCTACAGAACCCTGGAAAGGCAATATGGGCATGCCCCTGTTACAGATGAGGTGATAAGGCTCAGGCTATTGGGGATGTGAGTTAATTGTGTGCCACAGGGAAGCTGGCCCTGTGTGTGTCTAGGGAGAATTTCCCTGGTGCTGGGAAATCTGAGAGAAGCTAGTTGGTGAGCAGGTTGCAGGCTATAGTGTGGAAAAAATGGCCTCTGGACAGCATCCCTGTTTGTCTACCCTCAGGACCAAGGACACTCCGCGGCTGAGTCTCCTCCTGGTGATTCTGGGCATCATCTTCATGAATGGCAACCGTGCCAGCGAGGGTGAGTGCTGGCCCTGAAGTTAGGGGTTTGGTCGTGATCTCATCTTTGTGTGCCAAACTCCTGTACCCCGTCTCCCCTCGCAGCTGTCCTCTGGGAGGCACTCCGCAAGATGGGACTTCGTCCTGGGTATGACTGGCTCCCTGCTCCTTCCAGCTCAGTGGTGTGGAGTACTCAACATACTGCAGTAGCCTGGGGTCTGGTGCAGGAAATTGAGACACCTTGGCCTAGGTGGAGAGCAGAGGGCCTCAACAGGATGCATGGTGTTAGCTGTAGCCGGGAGCTTTCAGCCCCCACTCAGATCTCTGTCCCCTGTGGAAATGTCAGGGAGACAACCAGAGGTGGAGGGCAGGGGTGGGGGAGGGGGAAACTCCCCAAGCCCCTCCTATAGGGCATCCCAGACTCCCAGTCATCTGGCCTCGGCTGTGTGTCTGGTCCTCCAAGAGGGTGCTCTGTGGTCAGGAAAGCTCACTATCATACCAGGAAGTGCTTCTGTCTGTTGCTAGTTACGGATTTCTTTGTTTGCCCTCAGGGTGAGGCACCCATTCCTTGGGGATCTGAGGAAGCTCATCACAGATGACTTTGTGAAGCAGAAGTAAGTATCACCTGAGCTAACCTTGTCCCATTTTTGTGTGTTCCTCAGTACTGATCTGAGAGCAGAACAAGCTATCTCCTAAGCCAAGACAATTGGTAAACTACAGAGATGCTTGCCTCTGCTATGGGCATGGTTAGGGGATGGGGGTCTGTCTATACATGTGTATGGAAAGTAAAATTCTTGGGCAGTCATAGGGAGAGGGAGCACCAGTTGGTTGATAATAATGATCAGGGTGTGATATGTGCAAGGTGTCATTGGGCACTGACCCTGCAGGCTTTCATAGGATATCCCCCTGTTTTTTATGCCTGAGCAACATGGAGCTCTGAGAGTAGTCTCTTGAGTATGGGCCCCATCTGGTTACCCAGGAGCACAGGTCTCCTGGTTTTCACACTAGAGCCTACTTCACACTTGGTCCGTGTGTGTGTGTGTGTGTGTGTGTGTGTGTGTGTGTGTGTGTGTGTGTGTGTGCATTTGTGGGATCATGCAAGAGTGCACAGGAAGGGTTATAAAGTCCTTTTCTGTAGTACATCTTTCCAGTCTAGACCTCTTGTCAGAATCTATGAAGTAGGGTGTGCTCAGAGCAGGGAGCCCAGAGGATGGCTCCTCTGTTTACAACACACCCAACAGGAATCTGGGGCCATTGTGATGAAGGGGCACAACATTTGTGCCTTCTCTGGGAGCAAGTGCCCTACAGGTGTCCCCTCTGCAACTCCACTTGGATTCCAGTCACAAGGTGTGGAGACCTCACTCTTGGAGGCCAGGGTGTTTTGAGCAAGTCAGGGGCTGTCGGGCAGGGCTGGTCACCTCTGTGATATGAGCTGCAGCACTGGGGTGGAGGAGGGACAGACCCCCACCCCCACCCCACAGCCCCCCTCCCCGCCCTGAACCCATCAAGTCAACAACAGGTCTGTTTGGCTAGAAGCAAATGCTATTTTCCTTTCACCCTCAGGTACCTGGAGTACAAGAAGATTCCTAACAGCAGCCCACCTGAGTATGAATTTACCTGGGGCTTGCGAGCCTGCCATGAGACCAGCAAGATGAGAGTCCTGAGATTCATTGCCCAGGTACTAGAGACCCTGTGTCTGGTGCCAGGTATGGAGGTGGCATGCTCTGGCCTGATCCCAGTCCTGTTTGTTGTTGCCATGGTGCTGGACATGCATAGGAGTGTATCATAGGTAGCAAGTGCTTTCTGAGTGTGAGATGTCCTGTCACTAAGGGTGCTGTTTCCCACATCAGAACCAGAACCGAGACCCCCGGGAATGGAAGGCTCATTTCTTGGAGGCTGTGGATGATGCTTTCAAGACGATGGACCTGGATATGGCTGAGGAACATGCCAGGGCCCAGATGAGGGCTCAGATGAACATCGGGAACGAAGCTCTGATTGGGCGGTGGAGCTGGGATGACATCCAGGCTGAGCTGCTGACCTGGGATGAGGATGGGGATTTTGGTGATGCCTGGGCCCGCATCCCCTTTGCTTTCTGGGCCAGGTACCATCAGTACATTCTGAATACCAGCCGTGCTAACAGGAGAGCCACGTGGAGAGCTGGTGTCAGCAGCGGCACCAATGTTGGGGCCAGTACTAGCCTCCTGGATGGCCCTAGCACCAGCTCCACCATCCGGACCAGAAATGCTGCCAGAGCTGGTGCCAGCTTCTTCTCCTGGGTCCAGTAAGATTTCCACAGGGAAATGCCACTCTGCGGGAGGGCTATGGAGGAGCTGGAACAGCTGGGGAAGGGGGAGGAGGGAGGAGGGGAGAACAAGGAGGCTTGTTGGGGGCAGCAGTGATGGTGGGGAAACATTTGTTTCACTCTGTCTGTCTGTGTGTGTGTGTGTGCGCGCGCACGCGCGCGCACGCGTGTGTGTGTGTGTTCCTTCTTGATAGCTGTGTGTTTGAGCCACGTTCTCCCCTTTGCTTCCCGTGCTCCAGACAGCGTTGAGAAACTGCAGCCATTATCCTCACCCAGCCAAACTGCCTCCTCAGACTCCCTGCCACCCGACACTCCAGGCCCTTCACCCCATGGCTTGGAGAGACCATAGGAGATGAAGCTTCCCTCACTTTTCCTGCTTTCCTCGTGTGCTGTTTCTTGTGTGTTTGAGTCTTTGGTATCAGTGTTACATTAAAATTGCAAAGTTAATTTGGATGCTCCCTTCTTTACCTGCGTGTGTGTTGTGACAAGAGGCCTATCCCAACAAGAGGCCTGAGCCTGGGCTGGTATCAAGGAGGCCAAGTAAGACCCAGTGAGCCCCACCTCTGCAGAAAATGCCCACAGGTATATGGTAGGATGCTGGGAGTTGTGGAGATTCCATCCGAGTGGGAAGACATTGAGTTCAGAGCCTCTGCCCCTGCACATGGTTACATGATGTCCCACAAGGGTTGTCCAGGAGTACCGGCTGGATGCCAAGAGAGGAAGGGGGAAGGGGTGTGCCCCTGTCTTTTCCACTGAGGAAGACATAATGAAAACAAAGGTTTATGCAACCTAGCCTGCCTGTTCATTGCCTGGGAGGGAATAGAAGACCGTTAGGAGATTCGTTGCTCTTCTCCAGAAGTCGCCCACTGAGGCCTAGGCTAGGCCTAGCTGGTGGGGTAAGGGCTGAAAACTCTCCAGGTGCAAGGCAATGAGGGAAGAGACAGGGCGACCTAGAAGTAAGGGTGACCTAGAAGTAAGGGCTCAGTTGCAGTCCAGGTCAGTGTCCACAGAGCTCCCCCCACCCCCCAACAACCAGGACAGATGCAGTGAGCAGTGTCAGCATCCCTGCTTCCCCCTGGCTTCTTAAAGCAGCTAATGTCCAGAAGAGAAGAGACTTCTATCTCAGTCTCAGCTACACTCTAACCCTGACTCAGTGCAGCTACATAAATGGTGAGGCCCAGTAGAAAATGACCCCTTGAGTCTGCTTAACAGTGATTAAGAATTTCAAGACACTGATGGGAGAGCATTAAACCAGAATGGAACTCAGTTTGAGTGTGGGACTTCATAGGTCACACACCCAAGACCTGAGCTTATTTTTCTTTCTTTTTTTTTTTTTAATAAGTTTTTTTTTTATTGTGAAAATACTGTACAGAGGGGTTACAGTTACATGAGCAAGGTAATGAGTATATTTTTTATCAAGCATTGTTGAGTTTATTTTTCTTACAGGCTTGGGTGATGGGTGTCCAACTGTCTTCTGGTGTCTGGAGGTCTACTGACATTCTGAGATTCTGACAAAACACAGTGCCAGAGCTACACACACACACACACACACACACACACACACACACACACACACACACACACACAAATGGAATCCTTTCAGTTGTTGAGATCACGTGAGATATGATGCCCATTTAATATGGTGAATTACACATAAGGTGGCTGGGACCTGCTGGGACACAGCTGAACGCATGTAGGCGTGTGTACCTTTTCTGTCATCAGGTGTGGAGGTAGGGGGAGTGGGCACCTAACATCAGCCTCAGGTATGAGGTTGAGCTCTGTGTGTGTGGAGGCACTTGAAATAAGACAGCCCACTGAGAAAGATGGAGGAAACAAGGGAAAGGCAAAAGGGAAAAGACTAGGCAGATAGAAGTAGCCTTTAGAGATGATACCCATTCCTCTTTCTGGGGCCCCTGGAGGGATAGAGATAACACTCTACTTTTTTCTGAAAACCTGGGGAAGATAAGCTCTGATGGATGCAACCTGAAGGAAGCAACACCCCTGGTGACCCCGAAGGGTCAGGCCCCCCTTTTGTCATGGTAGTAACCCAATCAGATGCCAGAACAGCGGAGATTTGCCCCCCAAAAGACTATAAATGGGAGTCCCCAATGAGCACTGCCGTTTCTGGGCCCCACGTCTCACTCTGTTATACCACCACAAAGTCTGCACTCTCCTCTACCTTGCCTGGGAAGGAAGTGAATCAAACCTCATATGGCATAAGGTGGCCCTCACAGTAAGGAGTTGAAGTTGGAGGCTTAAACCAAGCTGTGAGTGCCTAAGACTCTTTTCCTCAGTTTCTCCAGCATCTTTTTTTTCTGGTAGTCTTTGACTGTACTCCCACTTCTCCTGCTTCATCATTCTTTATTTGGTGGAGAGGAAGAACTCAAGACTCTGAGATGGTGTCAAATCCATAGAGATATAGTACAGGGCAGCTCCAGGCTGGCTGGCTGCTGTATGTAATATCTTCCCTTCCCAGGGTGGATTCCACCAGTGGCCCAAACCATACACTGTGCAGAGGATGGAGCTGAGAGCAGCCTGGCTGGGAGAAAGGGAGCAGCCAGCCTGGCAGAGAGCAGAATTAGGATTGCCTTGGGAAAAGCAAACTGACTGTGGATCCCATGGGAATGTGGCAGGGGAGATAGGTGAGGAGACATTATTTTAAGTACAAATAAAAAGGGCCAGACTCAGAAGTTGGAACCAGCAAGCACCTAACAAAGCAGTTAAGTATCCCTCCATTTAAATGCTAAGTTGCCAGTACTGGCAGACCTAAAAGGTACTAGCTGTCTAACACTGTCCTCTCCTTTGAAATGGTAGAAAACCTAGCAGCTCTATGTAAATGGATACGCAGTAAAATGAGAAGCTTATCTGAGCAAAGGAGACAAAACAGTTCACCTGTGGCCCCTATGTTTTTGGTAGACCCAGAAATATCTCCACATTTTAGAACACCAAAGCAACACCAATCTTGGGTACCTACATCCATTGCCTAAGGGTTGGTGATTGCTAGATGTGGCCACCTTTATTCCACCAACTCAGAAAGAATAAAAGCCAGGAGGTAACAACTGCCATTTTGAGTCTTTAACTCTCATTTCCTTCATGGAAAGCATGACATGTTTCTCTCTTTCTCTCTACTTTAACTCTGTTATACTAAAATAAATCCTTTCAGAAACTTTCACTTTGTGAGACTCTCCTTTTTGCCAGATACCCTGAGATGATTTTCATGCATGGCCATCAAGGACCTGTGGTTTTGTGTGGAAACTGGGAAACCAAGGGAACTCCTCACCCCTTCACCAGTGTCAGGAAGATCAGGCAGGGCACCTGGAGACCTCGACTCCTCACTCACTCACCACCAAGAGATGACCAAGAGATGCATGTCTTGCACTCTAGTCCAGGCCTTCCACAGGCATCCCACCATTTCTCATTGGCACATGCTTGAGTTTGCATGGCCCTTGTAGGTACCTCGTCTGTGGCAGTGGCGCCAATGATGTTTGGCTGCTCTGCCTGACCTGGCCTGATGTCTCTATCTCAACTCCTCCTCTACTTGTTCATGGACAAACATTGGTGGATTCTTCAGCTTGATTTCCACTTATTGATGATTATTCAGAAAGTTGTTCTGAATATCCATGCTCAATTCCAGTCTGAGCTGTGTTGCCATCTAGCAGCATCCTGAGAGGAGGGGCTGATCAGACCCATCGTGTGGATGATGAACCTGTGGCTCCCAGAAGGAGGTCACTGGTCTGAAGTCACACAGCCAGAAAGCAGCAGCACAAGAACTGAAATCTAGCAGGCAGGACTTGCTCTGTCTCTTACAATCTGTTGCCTTGGACGGCTCACAGGGTCCTGGGGTTAACACACCTTCCTGCTTCTCACTCTCCTCACACCAGTCCTCCTGTCCACCATGTTGCACATCCCAAATCCCATTGCCCACTCACTGGTGCTCTGGGGTCCTGTCCCCACTCTTGAAAGATGTAGTGAAATAACAGTAGAGAAGGGACATGACTTGCCTGAGTTCTCAGACCCAGCCCTGCCACTGCCCCATGAGTGATCTGGGCTCAGCCTCTTCTATTGGACATGTGCCTATCCTTTCTAATATACGTGTTCAAACGGTCTGCCTGATTATGATTGGGTTCTCTCCCTAAAAATGAAAGATGGGGCCTCTATATGTTTCACATACCTTTTCTTTGTCCTGTGTATACATTACAGATGTCCTTGCTGAGTCCATAACTTGTTATTTCATTTTTTTTAATGACAAAGAGCAGTGAGGAAAAACACTTACTTGGAGTATTACTTTCTTTTTCTTGTTTTCTTTGTTTTTTCTTTTTTTTTTTATCAGCTGTGGGGCCTGAACTCTGGGCTTGGGTGCTGTCCCTCAGCTTCTCAGCTCAAGGCAAGCTCTCTACTGCTTGAGCCACAGTGCCACTTCCGGTTTTCTGGTGGTTAATTGGAGAAAAGAGTCTCATGGACTTTCCTGCCCAGGCTGGATTTGAATCGTGATCCTCAGATCTCAGCCTCCTGAGTAGCTAGTATTACAGGCGTGAGCCACCAGTGCCTGGCCTTACTTTCTGAGTTATAGAAGTAAGGTTTTGGACCTCAGCATGCTCACCAAGACATCATCATTCCCTTGCACAAGTCTTTCATTTTAGAATTTTAAAATTTATATTTACCATCTGAAGAAATGTGACAGGAGTTCAAATCATATCAAGTATCTTTTCTGACTACAGCAGAATGAAACTAGAAACCAAATCCAGGAGGATATTTGCAAAGTTAACAAAACTGTTGAAATTAAAAATAGCCATCGAGTCACAGACCAAAAATTATCGAGGCAAATTAAAGCAAAGGCACAATATACCACAGCTTGGAAGATGCAAAGAAAGCCAGCTTCAAGAGGAAGTTTAGAATGGCAAATGGTGACTTAAAAGAAAAAAGATCTCTGACCAACAACCTAATTTTAATTTAATGTTCTTGCCTATCAGTTGGACAGAAATCTGCACCCTTGCTTGGCTTCTTCTTGTTTTCTGCTCTCTCTCTCTCTCTCTCTCTCTCTCTCTCTCTCTCTCTCTCTCTCACCTCCTCTCTTTCCCCTTCCATCCTCCCTCCCTCCTTTCTTTCTTTCTTTCTTTTTCTTTCTTTCTTTCTGTCTTTCTTTCTTTCTGTCTGTCTGTCTTTCTATATTTTTCTGTCTTTCTTTGTTTTTCTCTCTCTGTTTTTGTTTCTCTCTATATCTTTTTCTTTTCTCTCTCTCCCTTTCTTTCTTTCTTTCTCTCTCTCTTTCTCTCTCTTTCTTTCTCTCTCTTTCTTTCTTTCTCTTTCTCTCTCTCTCTTTCTTTCTTTCTTTCTTTCTTTCTTTCTTTCTGTCTGTCTGTCTGTCTGTCTTTCTATATTTTTCTGTCTTTCTTTGTTTTTCTCTCTCTGGTTTTGTTTCTCTCTATATCTTTTTCTTTTCTCTCTCT